TCTGGAACTGGCGTTTTGTTCTTTGCCTAATTCGGCATACCCTCGGACACAATTTATTATTTAATGGACTTTAGTGTACAAATTTGGTGTTATTTTGTGTTCTAAAGTGCAGTGAAGTGATAAATTATAAAAAGCATTGAAATACTTCGAATTTGAGCGCGCATCGAGTGTCGAGTGAGTTGTCGTATGAACAACCCACTTTGGACCCGGTGGCGTCTTGAAACCTGCTTACGGGCATACTTAACTCCACGGAATCCATGAAAAATCAATAGAACTGAAACACCCACGTTCTATTGATAACTATGTCAATTTTCACTCGACATTGGCAGAAATAAACCTCCCAGAGAGGTTTGGTTGCCATTAAAAAAAAAGGCATTTATAGTGACTGAATACCACAAATTAAAAGTAAACAAAGATTTTCATTGCCTATATATAATTTTATTAGGGATACATTTCTATTACCCTAATAAAATCAATACTCAAATAAGACACGACAACATAAATTATAGAGCCGTTTAACTGACCTCAGTCTATAACTTAATTAGGTGACGTCCAAGGCTGCCAACTGCCAGACGGTCTAATTGCCAAGCCCGGCCAAGGCGCCACCACAACTGTCTGACTACCCGCTAACCTTCCTTAAACACCATCGACCGCGTAGACCTACTATGACAATAGAGATATTTTCGAAAGCCTATATTTGCCCTCGTATTTGCCCATACTATTAACTTTCAGACGCTACCCTTTACCCCATACCGCGGTAGGACCCGCTAATTCTCCACCATCCTTTACAAATACCTCAAAATCAACAAAAACCTATACAGGTCAGAATCGTNATATAATACTTAGTGGAATTACTGCTTTCAAAACGTGAATTAGAACTGGCCCCATAGCAGGCATTTTTCTACATCTAAAGGCCTTTTGAAATATATATTGGTTATGGCTATTGGAGCGGGTACCACTTTCCATACATTTGTGCCCATCATCCTTTAGAGAATGAACACACGCAGAACAATTTAATACAGGTTTAACCCCCAATGACTCAATCGCAGCCGAACCAGCAACCTTAGACACTTCCTCCTCAGCAGGTTGGAAATCGTAGCTGCTAACGAACGTGTGAGTCATTCGGTCGATCCTTTTTAAAAGTGGGATGAGACGCTCATCTAACTGTCCCATCAAAGACCTATCATCTTCCTCCGTAGCCTCAACACGGCTTAACCTATGGAAGATATGGTTGCCTAAAGTCTGCACTCTATTAAGTTTTTTGAGTAACAGGGGTTTCCTATTACACAGCTCCTCAAGCTCGTCTATTTTGGAAATAGTCTTAAGCTCAGCCAGCGCCTCTCCCTCAAACACACTCACCTTATCGCTAGGTATATCCTGAGCCAAACGTTTAATTTGAGCACGCAACAACTCTACAGTTTTTTCAGGCACAGCATCTCGAATGGCAACCTCGTAAATCAATTCGTCTGTTCAAAATGTTAAACCGGATAGGGCGTTCCTCCTTCATATTGACTTTACAAAATAATATTTTTAACAAAAAGTAAAGTAAGTTACAATATTCGGCTTATTGTGATATTCGTTACACACTACAGTATGATTATACTTATTATAATATTATAACAGTAAGAAAAGAAAACTTAAGGTGACCAACCAATCCGTCACTGAGCAATAGACCAGTGCCGGGGAGAATCTCCACGGACCCAACAACGTCCCTGTTCGGGCGCCATGTAAATTTGAAAAAATTGCCGGGGAAAAATAAAAACATTTTTTTAACAATACAATTTATTGTGTATGTGACACAAAAAAAATAAGTTTAAAGGGATGGGTCGTTGGGCCGTTTGGTTGGTACCCATTAAAGTACTTAAGGTTACTAAATGTCGCGCTACTTGGTGAAGTCGTACCACTCGGCTCAACCCCCTCCGCACCCGTTGGGTGCAGCAAGCGTCTGGCACTGCGGGACAGCCGGTGTCAAACACATTCAACGGAGGAAAAAATCCGGCGACAGCAGCTATATAGCAGGACACCGCGCAGAGCTCGCCACCGAGCACTGCCCAACCAAAATCTCAATAAGTGTGGGCCCAAGCGTAGCACGTGGCAGTGGGTCCGCAAAATTACGGGGCTTTCGGATTTTATCCGAGATTTCCCTTTTTTAACCATCTAAGTGATGGGGGTGGTAGTGCTGTCGGGTAGATCGTTGGCGAAAAGTGGCGGCAGGAATAAGTGATTCCATACTTTTGCTCGCAAGTGTAAAGTTTGTTCGTTGCTTCAATCCATGTTCGTAGTAAAAACTATAAACGCGTCCGCTTTTGCCGATGCGTAAGGGCCGACTGAAGTGTGGCCGCGCACCGCGAAGTTCATCGCGATAAAACCCTTTGATGTCCGAGAGCTTACCGACAGCGGAGCGATAAGCCCGAAGCTTCGCCCGAAGTGCCGAAGGGTTCGCGAATACTTGGCTACACATCGTGAATATTCGGGTTATCGCGATGAGGGCGGCCTAGGCATATTTGATAGTTTCTGATATCTTTCTTTTATTTCAAATAATAAGATAGTTTTAGCGTTGTGACATGGGTTTGATAGTCTGTCTGTAGCTATTATCCATTTTTGTATTTTTGAGTTCTCAATATATTCTAGAGCAGCTAGTACAGCGCATGCGTCAGCTGTATAAATACTTGCTGCTGATCTTCGGTAAATGTTTTTATACGTGTGATTGATGCTTTCACGTACCCCCTTTCCGACACTTTGATGATCAGCTGCATCATTGCTTTGTGTAGTTTCTGTCTCTTGCCACGTAAATCACTGAGTATATTTTCTGTATGCCTCTTTAAGTGAACACGTATACGCATGTTAAAAATGAATTTGCTATTTGTTTAACTATCGGTTCTATCAAAGTTTCATGAAAATCATTATAATTAATAGAGTCCGTGATCGGATGGTTAAACATTTCCTGCAACAGAGGATTAAAATGGAGGAGTAAAATGTTGTGATACGACATTAATCAATTTGTTTTCAATGTTATTTGCTCTAAGTTTCAGTTCAACTTCAGCGCACCCTAAACTTTCTGCTGATTCCACCGCCTAACCGCTGCAAAAAGCAGCTTAATTTTTTAAATTGTATATTTTCGGTATATGGCATCGTGACAATTTGATGAAGAGCCATGGTTTCTGGAACGGCAACCAGGTTTTTTGATGTCGCTTCCAATATTTTTATTGAATTACCTATCTACGTCTTTGCCAGACACTAGAAAATAGTTAATCTTCGACGTATTATTCAAATCAAATCAAAATTAAAATTATCTCTATTTGTATAGACTAATTAAATTAGTACTTACAAATCGTCAAATGCTCTTAAAGAGCCTGTACATGTCTCATTCTTTTTTTGCCCTACCAGCGCTTCGAGATAAACATTTGGCAAGTGCTGAGAAGAAGCGCCGCAACAAACTCAGTCACCACTGTCTGCAAGTTTAAAAATATAAAAAAGTAGGAAGTTACAATACATTCAGAAGCAAGTTACTTATCACGCGTTCCCGTTCGTAGAAAGTGGCCTTAAGTCTCATCTAGCACGAGACCGCGTGGCAGTTTTAAATACATATATTTCTTTAGTGCCGTGCTTATGTCTAGGTCTTAGGTCTTATCGTCATATCATTATTAATCACTAGCGCTTTATAAGCTGCTTCAGGATCTGGAATATCATGGCCGCGTACGACTGCTTCTATCGTTTTAATCCAACTTGTAATAGATGGAACCTGTGCTCCACCAACAAACTGCATCAATTTTAATACTGGTATACTTTTATACCACAACTTTTGATGTGGTGATTTTGGCGAGACCGCAGATCGGTAACTTAACCTTTTTCTATTTTGTTATAACTTCCGTTTACCGAATCAAGTAACTTATGTCGAAGAATAATAACATTTCTGCAGTGTCTTAAGTTTCTTTGGAGACTCTGCCAGTTCCTATAAACAAACACAAGTACATACAAGTATAAAATATATTAACGTGCTTGTGTTAAATTAAGTTATTAGGCAGTCCAGATCTTGTCGTGTTCCAGATAGAGACAGTCAATAAGTCCAATGTATTCAATGCATTTTTATTTTATTAAATCCTTCTGTTGAAGTCAGATAAAAAAAATTGATCTAAACATTATCTTAATGCATTTATATGACGCTGTGAAATCATGGAATATTTCCAAGCAGATGATAAAATCAAAATCAAAAATATTTTATTCCATTTAGACTACTAGTGGCACTTATGAACGTTATAATACACTAAATAAAAAAGGTAGTCCTTATGGGGCACTTTACATGTCTCCTTATCTTTTGGGCCCTACCAGCGCTTCGAGACAAACATATGGCAAGTGCTGAGAAGATATGAAATGAAAGTCTTGCAGCAGAAACTATAATATTTGTAAGACTAAGATGACTTTGGCATAAAAGGCAAGTACAAATAAATGTTTACCTGGTGTAAATCCCATGGCAATGGTGGCAGTTCGGACAATATTTCACTTTCATTTTAGGTATTAAAAAATGGCATAGCTTAGCGCGCAAGTATCAAGCGCATACATTTGTAATTTATAGCTTGGGATCTTCTTGTATAGAGCTTCTAAATGGGCTTATTTTACTTTGCCGTACGCTTTTTCCCATCCAGAATAAATTCCAAATTTTTTGTTATGATATTGTTTCTTATCCCTTTTAAAAGATGAGGGGGGGGGGGGGGTGTCGTATAATGGGTAAATCTTGTGCTTATTGATTTCAAAAAATCATTCACTCTCATTTTAAACGATGTCCTCGTTTCCGATTCTCTGATATCTTGTGGCAACGAGTAGCCTTCACTGTGAAGGACTTTGAGAAGAAGGCAGAGTGATGGACAGGTGTAACAAGCCGAAGTTTATTGGAAGAACAGAGAGTTTGGTCATGCGATTGGTGTAAGTATGAAAACTCTTCTTTAAGGTAGGAAGGTCACAGCGGCCGTTTGCTCAAGGTATAATTTTAGTCCGTTTGATCGTACTAACACTTGGCAACTTTCAGATTTACTGAGCCTTACCCACCCACAAGTATCCGGTCTTTGACTCGCATAGCTCCAAAGTCTTGATGCCGACTGCCGCTGCTTTATGCTTTATGCTGCCACATTTCGATCCAATGTATACAAATGGGAAAATTTGAGATTCAAATGGTCAACGATAGGCTGGATTTTAAACAATTTAGCTTGAGCTCTAGTTAGCTCACCAGGATTGCAAATCGCGTTGTCTTGGAAGTAGAGACACCTACTCAACAACAAGAAGCGATCACAACTCATCGCTGTCGAGAACTCAGGAGTACTGAAAATGTCACGAGAACAATTCCAGTACTCCTCAATACGTGATTTCTCACCACAATCCCCATTGCTAGGGTTATGGCGAAATACTAAAACTGCGGGCTCCGGGACCGCAGGCTGCAGGACCGGGACCGCTGGCAACATCTGGACTACGGGCGAAGACGGCTCGACGGAGGGGGTGAAGTCCGGAGGAGGCCATGAAAAATCAAGGGCCGCTGGTGCGGCTCCTTCTTCCCCACGGACCTCATCCTCGAGGAACGCCTGGAGGAATCGGCACCGCCAGAGCGTCCCCGTCCTCCTCCTCCTCCTCCAAAGAGTCTTCCTCACTTCCTAATAAAATTAAAACAATAAAATTAGCTATACTCAGATGGAAGGTGGCGAGCTGCTAGATTTGGTGAAAACTGTATAATTAACTTACCATAGAACAGATGTTCCATGATTTCGTGGTCCTGCAGCGGTCGGCGACGTCCCAACAATAAACTCCGCCTCGTGGCGCCTCGAGGCGTAGACGGTCCACTCCCCGCAGCACGAGGAGTGGACGCTTCTTTCGTTAACACTCTGTGAACTTCCTAATACAAGAACTAGTATCGATTCCCTATTTAAGTTACTTTGTTGTAGGCTTTTCATAATCTGGTCAAAAGAAGCATCTGGCATACAATTATTCAAAACATTGCAGTCAATGTTTTTGTGTAACAGTGGCCCATAACCTATCCCTAGACTGTCTGATAGTATAACAACATTTCTTGATGGTTTTGACAATGATGGCCTAAGGCAAACATGTGGTTGATGCTTTTTTGGCAATTTACATGTACTTAATTGCAAAAGATTATATGCAGCCAGGATGTGTTCTTTGATTTGTTCCTGGGCAGAGTGGTATTTAGAAGATAGAAGTTCTAAAGACTTATGTAAATCACCAATATCAGCCTCCAGCCGCTCAACGTCAGAGGCATGATTTGACCTACCTTCCACTAATTTATCATGATAAATTTCTAAAGAATCAATTAAATCTAAGCGTTTTTTCCTCAGTGAGATATTTTTATAAAAGACTGCTTACTTCTTTACTCATGGGTGAGAGGGTGTTCAAGATTTTAACAACTGTATTCACACAAATGGAAGCTGGAAGGAATGGGTAGCAAGGATAGGAATCGCACTTCCCTCGGAATAGTTGCTGCAGCTGGATACTGGCGGTTTCCTGAAGGATGAGCTGGATTTTTCCAATGTTCAACGGTTTGACTTGTTGAATTGGTTTCGTTGACTTTCTCGTTGCAATCACGTCGGGGTCACCATTTGTTTGTGTAATATGTAGTATTGAAACTAACTTTCTTGATTTTCATCCATTTAATTGGATTTATAAAAATTTGTACAGAAGAACGTTGGGTTTCGTAAATTGAAGTGTTTTCATAGACAATAATAGAGTAGTGAAATAGACAATAGTGATGTTCCTTTTTCTGCGCGAAGTTTCGGCACTGAGACTTTAGTGATTGGCCTCAACACCAACCAATCCGTCACTGAGCAATAGACCAGTGCCGGGGAGAATCTCCACGAACCCAACAACGTCCCTGTTCGGGCGCCATGTAAATTTGAAAAAATTGCCGGGGAAAAATAAAAACATTTTTTTAACAATACAATTTATTGTGTATGTGACACAAAAAAAATAAGTTTAAAGGGATGGGTCGTTGGGCCGTTTGGTTGGTACCCATTAAAGTACTTAAGGTTACTAAATGTCGCGCTACTTGGTGAAGTCGTACCACTCGGCTCAACCCCCTCCGCACCCGTTGGGTGCAGCAAGCGTCTGGCACTGCGGGACAGCCGGTGTCAAACACATTCAACGGAGGAAAAAATCCGGCGACAGCAGCTATATAGCAGGACACCGCGCAGAGCTCGCCACCGAGCACTGCCCAACCAAAATCTCAATAAGTGTGGGCCCAAGCGTAGCACGTGGCAGTGGGTCCGCAAAATTACGGGGCTTTCGGATTTTATCCGAGATTTCCCTTTTTTCTTCGCTGAGGAGGATGATGCGTGCCCTGCCCGTTTATTTGGGAATGGCACTGTTAAGACCTCTTCGGAATCGGGACACTACGACACCACGCACACCAGAACTTCTATCCACGAGCACGGCCAGCAGAGCAAAGGGGACCTAAAAAGGCGTCGGTCATCACCCGTGACTAGACTTCCGTTTCTTTTTTTTTTTTTTTTTTTTATGTGANGATTATATGCAGCCAGGATGTGTTCTTTGATTTGTTCCTGGGCAGAGTGGTATTTAGAAGATAGAAGTTCTAAAGACTTATGTAAATCACCAATATCAGCCTCCAGCCGCTCAACGTCAGAGGCATGATTTGACCTACCTTCCACTAATTTATCATGATAAATTTCTAAAGAATCAATTAAATCTAAGCGTTTTTTCCTCAGTGAGATATTTTTATAAAAGACTGCTTACTTCTTTACTCATGGGTGAGAGGGTGTTCAAGATCTAGAGGAGCAAAATGAAAAAATAACTCACAATTGGAAATGGGTCTACTTGGGTATTAGGTATCCCACTTCCAAAGGCTTCTCCAAGTAGACTTAGGAATTTTTTCTCTACATCATTTAGGGGAATGGCTTCAGAAGGGCCACCGCCGGTGCGATTTTGAGCAGCACGGATGCTTGCTACTCTTCTTTTTAATTTTGCTTTGTAGTCTACCCAATTGATGTCCAATCGCCATTGTTGGGTGGTAGCAGTATGCCTCGTAAATTCTTACTTGGATTAATTAACTGCATCAGGATTTAAGAGACAAAGTAGCACTTATGTATTTCTCTACAACAAGAGTTGTTTTGTGACTTTGTTTTGCCTCCAATCTAGAAGCGCTTTCCTTCATCCGTGTTTAATTTTGAATGGACACTCTTCAGCAGTATTATCACAAGAAAAAAGTATGTGACCGCTAGTGCAGCTGCTATATTTTGATGTGATGGTGTTCCAAACCTCCTTTTTCTTTGTGAAATAAACAAGTTTAGCTGTAATTTTAAACATAATACTGTGAGGAAAACCACCATTCACTGTTTATTTATTGTTTATTATCGCTGTCACCAATTATTTATTGTTTTATCGCTCAGTTAAACAGAATCAATCGATAGAAAGATACAAAATCTCAGCACAAAACATCCAGTCCAAAAAATCACATAATGCTCCCTTTTCGCCGGTCCCCCCGCATCGCCATTCCTCTCTTATCGAGTTGCCATCATTAAGAATATATGTTTAAAAGCATAAACCTTACAATACTTACTAGAGGCTTGCCTGATCTCTTCAGGCAGAGAATTCCAGAGCCTTGTTGCCAGGAGACGGAAGGAGTCAGAGAGAAATCCAGTTCGGTGAAGAGGAGTGGAAAAGACGAACTTGTTAGAAGAGCGGAGCTGACGTGGGTGCGTTGAGCTGAGTAGAGTGAATGGAGACTTCAGATATGATGGCGAGTTGGTATCATTCAGAATCGAAAAAAAAAACATAGAATTCTGACTTAGTTTACGAATTTGGGCAATTCAAGCTACCCGCCTGACCTTGCGCTTTAGCATTGTGTGCTCGTTTTGAAAGGTTGAGTGGAAATTATTTATGTCCTATTTGTAGTAATACCCTGAAAAGTGCAAGCTGAAAGGAAAGATTCAATTCTCGCATTTACGGCATGGTTCCGATCTTCGTTTCGTTGACAATCTTGCTCATGAGCGGCCACGTGGTCGCCATCGGCGCCTTCTAGACATTCTGTGTGGAATTGTAGGTATTTCGTCGTAAGGGCTTATAGCTGACTGTAATCTTTTTGATTGAAAATCGGGACGTCTGGCAACGCTGATACTCTTATGATTGATGGGATGTTGCAAGAAAGGGTTTTTTCCTGGCGGCTTGGTGACCGGATTGAACCGCCACCGGTGCAGACTGAGAAGATGGTGAAATGTCTGCACGTGAAAATAGAGGTTGTCCGGCTTGCAGAAATTTATAAGAGTTACTTTTCCTTGTATTGAAATTAAAAAAATGTAAATAAAACAGCTCCCTCTCAATTGACACAATTTATTTTGTTTTGTAAGCTCGTATACAGTTAACAATTACGATATAACTAATGTAATAGATAGTGCCAACCTCAAGGGATTCAGGGTTGTTAATTAGGTTCGGTTTGGTGANTTCTGAATTAGATGTTCCAGTCTCAGGTGCAGTATGTTCGGACTGAGTTTGCTACAAAAATTTCACAACAAATTAATTCATACATTACTCAAAATTCTAAACATAATATCAATTAATTTCAATAAAGTTATGTATTCTCAAAATGAAAAAATAACTCACAATTGGAAATGGGTCTACTTGGGTATTAGGTATCCCACTTCCAAAGCCTTCTCCAAGTAGACTTAGGAATTTTTTCTCTACATCATTTAGGGGAATGGCTTCAGAAGGGCCACCGCCGGTGCGATTTTGAGCAGCACGAATGCTTGCGACTCTTCTTTTTCTTAATTTTGCTTTGTAGTCTACCCAATTGATGTCCAATCGCCATTGTTTGATGGTAGCAGTATGCCTCGTAAATTCTTACTTGGATTAATTAATTGCATCNCAGGGGGGGAAGGAGGGGGAGAGGCCGCGGATTTGCGGGTCCTCTTCGAACGACTGACGGTGGTGAAACCATCCTCGTCGGCGTCCGAGAGTGGGTGTCCTTTTGTGGTGCTAGGACAGGTGGCAGATGTTGATGTTTAGCCTGATGCGTACCCGGAATGTAGAGCCCTTAATGCTAACTCTCTCCCGGCTCTACCTAGAGTCCTAAAGTTGTCAATTAAAAATTTAGCCCTCGGATAGCTAACCAATTTGCAAAAAACCCCGTTAAAATAGACCGAATAGTTTCCGAGATATCGAATTTTAAAAATTTGACCTAGTTTTATTTGACGTAATTACAATCCAAAAATGACCCCGCCTAATTTTGAATTTGGAATTTTGACACTGTTTGTTGAACCGGGAGAAAAAATAACATTCACGGTGGAAAAACCTGATAAAAACTCCTAGTTTTAATTTTACACCCCTTTAAAATTTTTGAATCTTTGGTTTGTTTACCTTTTTTGAAAACGAATACGCGCGAAATTTATAAACCAAAAATTCTGGATTTCGACCTCATGTTTACAAATTTCCTACTTTTTATTTTAAGACTTTAAAATTTTCANTAAAAAAAAATTTTCTCCATACAAATTTTCTTGTCATATTTTTTTTAAGCATGAAAGGCTCGTTTTATCGAAAACTGCATAATGACAAATGTTGATCAGCATTCAAAATGCTATCCAAAACAATTTTTGTTTCGGTGAAATTATGACTTTCGATCGTATGTCCACCTATTTTTAAAATCAAACTACTGTGCGGCGGCGCCGTCAGCCCCGATCGCAAACATTACCAATCAAAATACGTTGTTAGCATCACCACAATCGAACGATAACTCTTTCTGGTACGAGTTTCTTAATAAATACCCATTTAAAAAGGCTCATTGTGCTCATAAAATAAAGCACCTACAAATCCTTTACCACATCAACAAAGCACTTTAAACTACAACTATTAGTAGACTGGGTGGCCACCCCCAACACTGAGCCAGCTTACAGCTTGAATTATTAAATTTTAATGTTTTTTGCAAATCAAGAAGCTTAATAAGTNAAAACGAATACGCGCGAAATTTATAAACCAAAAATTCTGGATTTCGACCTCATGTTTACAAATTTCCTACTTTTTATTTTAAGACTTTAAAATTTTCAAAAAATGCCGACCTTCAGGGTTTTCAGGCCTTGTTAGTAAAAAATGAGCTATTTTATCTGTTTTACTACTGAAAAAAGTTCCTATTAAATATTTTACGGTTTTAAAAATGGACTATTGAAGAGATTGGCTGTTCTAAAGTTATCCTAATGAAAATGTAATTTTAAAATTAATTTTTACCTATTTTATTTTACTTCTTAGTTTTTATAAAAATTTAAAATGTACCTTGTATTTTTGTTTTACAATTTATAATTAATTGTAACCTAAACTCTTAATCTAAATAAAAATGAAGTTTTTTCCGCTAAATAAAATTATGAAAAAGTTTACCC